ACAGGTGTCCTTTTCATCATTACAGAAGGCTCTGAGTTTATGCATGTTAACAGCGAGGGAATGAGGACTGTACTACTTTTCTAAGGCCACTACAATGAAGGTTGGCTTAAACAAGAGAAATGTATTGTGTTACGGTTTTAAGGCTGCAAACCCTAGACAAAGTGTGGACAGGGCAGGCTTCTTCTGAGGTCTCTCTCTGATTTGTAGATGACCTTCTCCATGTGTTTTCACATGGTATTCCCTAAGCATGTCCCATGTGTAGATTGTCCCTTCCTGTAAGGATACCAGTCATAGAGGCTGAAGTTCCACTCTGCTTACCTTGTTTTGACTTAATCACCTTTTGAAGACCCCATGCCCTAATACAATCACATTTTTTTTTGGTGTTTTTTGAGACGGTCTCCCTGTAGCCCCAGCTGGCCTGGAACTCACTATGTAGACCAGGCTGGCCTCAAACTCACAGAGATCTATCTGCTTCTGCCTCCCGAGTGCTGGCATTAAAGGCATGCACCATCATGCCTGGCACAATCACATTCTTATAGAACTTCAATACATCAATTTAAGGATGATAAAGTTCAGCTTACAAGAGGCCCTGAGCCTGATAAAGTTAAGGAATCACTTAAGGAATGTTTTGTCTTTTGAGAGCAAAGTGCTCCTCCTACTGCTATGTTAATTATCTCCTTGTGTTAATATTCTACTTTGAAATTAGTTTCTCTCCTTTCCACTGTTGCACCACTACGAAGTGAGTACCATTCCTTCTGCAAATGGGGTAATTTGTATCTTCTAGATTAGCTCATGAGATCCTGGTGGGTAGGTAGGACTGTCCTTCAGTCATTTGGAGATGTCTTCATCCCAAGAAGGAGCTGTACAGCAAATGATTCTTGAAACTTGCTCTGTGACAGGTCCTCGGCTCCACTGGGGCTTATAATGAGTGAAATGTCATGACTGTGGTCCGCATTTCTAAAGAACGAAACCTGAGTCCAACTGGAAAGAATCATGCCCAGATATGTTTCACAAAGCTCACTCTAACAGCTGTACAGTAGTGGACTATTGGGGGAGGTGGGGGGGGCTGATTCAGGGCTCACTGCACACATATGCATATGAAAAAAATACTTCCTCAACATAGTGAGCTGCCCTCATGTACTCTATTCATATACAACCCCAGGAGTTGACACAAGTGACAAAGTCAGGTAACTTCTGGCTGCTATAAAAGGATCCTAGTCCCTCTCAGAGGTGTGATTCTTGCTCTCTGAGAATTTTTCCATTGTGTATTCTGTTCATAGTGCCTTGGGACTCTTGTTGAGAGGCCCTGCCCAGAGCTGTAAAAGAGTTAATGCTCCTATTTATTTATTTATTTATTTATTTATTTATTTATTTATTTAATTTATTTATTTATCTGTGTGCGCAGTGTATTTATATGTTCATGTGGGTGTGTGCATGTCTGTGGGAGTGTGTATATGTGTATGTACATGTGGAAGTCAGGGGTCAACTTCAAGTATATTTTTAAATCCCTCTTCACAAGCTCACTAATTTGGTTAGGCTACTGGCCAGTGAGGTCCAGGGACCCGCCTCTCTCCATTCCCTACAGCACTGAGCAGCCCCACCACTTTTTACAAAAATGATTTATTTTATGAGTGTTTTGCCTGCATGGATGTAAGTGCACTTGCTTTGTTGGTTTCCTTGGAAATGGAATTACTGATGGGTCTTAGCTGCCTTGGAGGTGCTGGGAATAGAACCTAGGTCCCTTTGCCAGAGCAGCCAATGCTCTTAACTGCTGAGCCATCTCTCTAGCCCCAAGCAGCCTCATCTTTAAATGTCCATCTTGCCTTTGCCCTTCATGATGCTGGACATTTTTCCTCATTTTTATAAACCTCTGCTTTCAATGAAGTTCTCTTACATTTGGGACTCGAAGGCTTTTAACGGGAGGGCAGGTGTAGAGGGGTTGTGCCTTCTAGCTTAGCAGATGATTATTTCCTGTTGTTCAGCTCCTCTCTAAACCTTCATTAGTTGGTTCTAGAGCAGGTGAAGTGAGTCTTCTGGAATGGTAAACAGTTGAGGCAGCAATAGCGGCTGCATAGAGACCAGAGGCTGCAGCCTGCTTTGTTCCATCATTGGGTTACAGGATGGCTCAGTTCCCTAACAACCAGAGAAGGAGCTATTGCAAAGTACCCATTCTCCAGAATAGAGGGTGTCTTGCTGAACACAGACACTTTCCTAAAGCCTCAAAGGAAGTCATTTCTCATTAAGTGCCTCCTGGGGCTCTTACATAACCCTCAGCTTTCTCTCTTCTCACCCATCAGAGCTGCCTTCTCTCTTTTTTTTTAATGTATGTGGTATATTTCTTCTGTGCTTCTTCCTTAATGTCTGTCCTTGAATGACTCTGAAAGGTAAGAAAGACTTTGCCTGCTTTCTGCCCATTGACAAAAGAGCAAAGGTCACTTTAGGTCTCACTGCTAAGAGGCTGAAATAAGGGGCTGCCTAGAATATCCACTAAGTTCACAGTCTTGTATCATTTTCCTGCAGCAGAACTCCGCTGGGTGTGTGTGATGTGGGGAGGCAATAGGTGATTTTGGTCCACACACATATGTTGTATCATAGACCACTGAAGGGTGCTCAGTGTTTACATGACCTGAACCTGAGGCTGTGATGTTTATAGTATGTGAATGTAACAGCTCACTTCCTGAATCGCAACTACTTCAAAGGCAAAAGTCCCTAATTTTAAACAAGTAGTGGGGACTGTGGCACCGTGAGCTTTCTTAATACAGGATGACGCTTGCATGACCTTTAGTAATATGAAGGTGATTTTGACACACCTCATTTGTCACTGCTTTCCTTGAGGCTGACAGTGGAAAGTGTACAGTGAGCGCAGGCTAACTCCGGGTGCAGAAACTACCAGTACAACTGAGAACTGTGAGGAGTGGTCTGACAATCTAGAAAACACATCCTTTCTACTTCTCCACAGAATTAATTTACATCAGTTAAATAACAGATACATTTCTCAGAATTTCTATACAAAGTGCTAAGGATTAATTACTCAGCTTTTCTTAGGCATGTCATAGTGATCTTAAATTTTTTTAAATTAATTTATTTAATTATTTCTGTGCGTGTGTGTATGCATGCATGTGCATGTCTCCACACACTGTGGAGGTCAGAGGACAACTTGCTGGAGTCAGTTCTCTCCTTTTACCATGTGGGTTCTGGGGATGGAACTCAGGTTGTCAGGCTTGACAGCAAACACTTTCACCCACTGTATCTCACAGGCCCCTCATAGTGATCTTACAACATGCACATATGCCACTGCTTGTGCGTCTTGTTATACATTCTTAATCATGTGATATTTTATATAACTTTGGGGGTTTTCATGTGTACAGAATTGGATCAATCACAATCTGAGGTCGCTGACATTTGTAGTACGTCATGCGGTGGCTATTTATTTAGACAGCTTTTAATTCAATAAGCACCTGTAAACTCACCAACCTAAAACAATAACTGACTGTAACACAGTTGGCACACGGCCACATCCCCATCTCCTCCTTGCTTCTTCCTCTCTGTACCCCACTCCTTTGCTTTCCTTTTTCTGTCACTACATTGCATTTACTTGTAGTCCAATAAGATATATGTCGGTTTTGTTCCTATTTAATGAAGAATCCTTGAAATTTACTTTTGCACTTCTCTTTAGCATTTCTATAGTTCAACCATTTTGACTGCTGTAGGTTTCGTTGTGTAGATATGTCACCATTTATTTTCCGTTCCTTTTGATGGGCATTTGGGCCACTTCCCAGTTTTGTCATTGTGAACAGTTCAGCTATGAGCATGCCCCTTCTTTCACATGTTCCTTCTTGTTTATGTACAAGAGTGGAATTGCTGCATCACAAGCCATGGTAAATGTTCAGCCGCCGAGGTAATGGTGCTCAGAGTTCTATACAAACCTCCCAAGCATGGATACGTACTTGGATAATTCACATTGCTCAAACTGACATTTGCTACAATGAAACGATAAAAGCAACACTTTCTATTTGGTATTTCAGCCTGAAAAAGTTATAATAGAGAGTGCATTCTTCCAGCAATATAACATTACATAAGTATACGCAAAGTATCTTAGATCATGGCAGAACTAGAACCACTCTCACAAGCTCAGACAAACCAAAACAATACCACTGCGGTAGAAATGGTACTTTGATTGGGACAGTGATATCCAATGTACAGGGAAAGACTTTTGTTTTCAGCTTAAAAATATTGCCTTTATTCAGAATCATAAGGAATTTTAAAATCTTAGCATTATGAAAGTTTAAAAAAATATAGCACTCAGTGCAGTGAAATACTACATTTAATTATTTTTCAAAGACTTAAGGCAGATTTCTCACAGTTTACATGTGAGAAATTAGCATGATCCAAACTCAACTATCCATTTCTCATATCTTTCAATGTCTGCAGCCTATACTGACTTAGAAATCCTTTTTAAAACCATTTCAAAATCCTCCATAGTAAACAGTATAAAATGTTAAGTTTATGTTGTGGGTACTGATACCTCAATATACACCATGCACTGTCCTAAATGAGCAGTGGTGGGGATCTGAGTCCTCATGTATGGATAGGAGGACTTTCTTGGTGAAAAAGCTCTCATGGTACATTGTCTTTAACTGGGAAATACATAAGTGTGTATAAATATCTACAGATTTGTCTATAGAGATTCCATATATGTATATGTTATCAGCAGCTTCTTAATAATCATTGGCAGAGACTTTTCTGAGATTCTCAAGGTTCTCTCAGCAAATGTTGCCATCCTCTGAGCTATATCCAGTTTTTTAACAATGGTTTTTCCTGTTCAGAAATTGCTTCATTTATCTCTAGAAACACACACACACACACACACACACACACACACACGTGTCAAAAAAAAATTTTTTTAATTAGAGTGTGAAACCACTAGAATTGAATATCATTAGCTAGTTACCATTCTGAATTCTGGCCAAAGGAACCCACAAGCAATTGGAAGCTCTTACCTTCACATAAAGCTGCTGGAACTCCTCGAGATTCAGCCTCCCACTTGGACAGTCCTTGAGGAACCCCTTGTACCACTGCTTGAGCTCATGTTCATTGAACTCGGTGCTCTTCACCAGGTCTTCCATGACTTCAGGAGCCAGTTTGCTGTTCTGTTTCCCCATTCTGCCTGCAGAAAAGCACACCAATGTAGTTAACACTGTAGCTGTGATCATGTTAATTTTGACCAAACCTAAGGTGTGAGGGTCTCCTGGTTGGAACTCATTTCAGCCTATCTGATCATGGTCTCCTCTGGCCTACATCCTTCCTTTTGGGGCTTTAGATCAGACAGGAGCAGGAAAGCCCTTTGGGACAGTACCAAGAGCTGTGTAGATCACCATCCCTAACATATGTCCATTGTCACATTACATTGACTCTCAAGTGGAAGCCAGGCATCCATCAGTCTTTTGCTATTCATATCAAGTATATGTAAACTCTTTTGCTTCTCCTTCTGTGATTATGATTCTCTAGCACGTGATGCTCAGGTATCTAATTCTATATTTTTATTAGATGGGCTTATTTACAAGAACAGAAAGAGGAGTTTATAGCCAAATGTTTAAAAAGTGACGTGGAAAACCTGATCATCTATCACAGGGTATCTTGGATGGCCCAGTTCCAAAGTTGTGGTTTTTTCTTTTTTCAAATGAAAACAGTTCATTTTCGTTAATGACATTAATTCTTTCCAGCTCTTGTCTTCAAACATTTTTTAGGAGACTGTCTCCTAAGAAAAGTTTGACTTTTTCTAGAGATTGGTTAGTGAAGTTTCATTGACATAAGAGTCCATTTTGTTCTTTTTACTCCTAGTAAGTTATAATAATAGTGCATAAGGTGATGTCATCTACATGAATTATGTACAAATTTGTATGGCCAAAGACAGAACACAGGGTATGATGACAGGGTAGATATAGATTCTGCTGATGTTTCATGTATTATATGTGTTACAGAAATATTAATTATTGCCCTTTTCAATTTTTTCATAAATAAATTAGTAGATGTACTAAAATCTAGCCTTAATGTGATGGCTATTAAAGAAATAAATTAAAATAGTTGTATTACTAGAAAATTAAGATTTGAAAATCCTTTTAATGTTGTTTTAGAATAATAATAATAAAATAATTAAAATGTAGCCAATAAGCCATAGATTGACCTAAAAACTCATGAAATTCTGAGGAATCACCATGATGTGAAAAGTACCAGAAGATCTTTAAAATCTAGTCAGAAGAAAGTGAATTAGGTTTTGAAGAATCTACCCAAGTGGACCCCGTGATTCCAAGAGCTCTAAGCAGGTCTATACTTGCAACAGTCCTGAGAAGAAAATGGCATCTCCTATTTCATCGCTGTTATTATTTTAATCTTCTCCTAAAACTGATCCCACACCCTTTGTCAGTACCTGCCTTGACATTGAAGAGTTTTTTCACTGCAATGAAATCAAACCATGCTTCTTACTTCCAGGAACGCTGCCACCTTGGCACTCATTCCAGGGAGCACTCAGCATATTCACATGATACTATCAGGATGACCAGCTATTTCAAAAGCTCCTCTGTTTGACAAAAGACTGGAGATAAAAAACTCTGCCCTTTCTCATGGAGTGTCTTTACTTACTTTTGCTCTTAATTTCAGTTCAAAGTCTCTTATTAGCAACTGTCTCTTAATTACAAGTTACTGTGGGATTCCTCAGCTGGATGTGGAAATCAAGTGGGTGCTCAGGTGTGAAATTTAATTAATGTGGGTAAGAAAACTGTAATTCATTGCTATCCTGGTGATCAAAAGGTAGACACCAAAGCTTTCAGGCTGTTGCTTCGTTCTTTTTGGTAGAAGAACATCAACGTTCATTATCAATTAGAATCCCACCTAAGAATAACCCGCGCTGAATGTGCAATGCTGGTTTAGCAAAGGCCCTAGATGGAGCACTTCGCACATCCTAACAGAGAGCAGAGAAGTTCCCTGAGTACTTTGGTGACTTGTACAAGATTACACAACTAAAGAATGCAGAGCTGGAGTTTGAAACTAGATTTACAAGACTCCAATGCATCAGCAGAGACAGACAGGGGGACGAAAGCATCTTGGGGTAAGGAAGAGGAGGAGCAAAAATGGGAAGGTCAGAAATGTCTGAGTCAGATCCAAGAAGGGATAGAAGAAGGGTTAGAAGGATCGGTTACTTTGCTACACTGACTGACTTGATTAGAGAAAGGTAGTTTACCAAAACCACATGCTTGGAAGTGAATTTGTATTTATTAATTAATCATGAGAAATGGATGAAAGGTTATTGAAAGCCCCTCCAAATATCCTTAGGAATTTAACAGTGTATCAGTTTAAGAAAACTTCCATTCTCCATGGATCATTTGTGGTGCCTTGACTTGTTCCTGCTGACTAGGAGAGAATGATCTCTTATATACACAAAGGGCATTGTTAGGGATATGAGTCATAATTCTGGAGAACCAAACGCATAACTTCATGCCTTTTGTTTATCATCACAGCCAATGCTATTGCTCAGGTGTGCCTGGGAGGGTGGATCATGCACAGTATCAAGTTCTGGCCTGTGGCATTAGTGTTGCCACTGCTCTCGCCAGGCCTTACCTCTTCCTTAGCCCCTGGCTCTATCCTACCTGCCACACTGTGTGGCTGCACAAATCAAGTTTTGAACACAAACTTTGCCATTGAATCTGCTCTGTCAAACCTCAGCACTCCTCCTTGGTCTCCAGCACACATTCCACCTCCTTAGCACAGCACACACCCTGCCTGTTGGTGACATCACGACATTTTCTGCTAGTCTGTCTTTTCACTTTGTATTCCATCAAAAGTGAACGTTACAGGTCCCAGAACTTGCATGCTGCACATACTTCTATGTTTTTAGAATGATATCCATCTTTGTCTTGGCCAACTTCTCCCCCTTCCTTCAACTACCCTCAGCTCTCACCCCACCTGCTCCACAAGACCTTCATGGCCCTTCATGGCACACTGAGCCTCTTGTCCTCCATCTCTCCCTGCTCTTGTTAAAGCTTCCAAGATCATTATTTACTTCTCTACTGGACTGCATATTTATATTTGTTTTTGAGAGAGAGAGAGAGAGAGAGAGAGAGAGAGAGAGGACTGTCTTTGCATCCTTGGTAATTTGCATTGGATGTTCAACAAATTCTTTTTGAGAGAAGAGTAAATGAGGACGACTGACATATTTGGTATATTTTTTTCTCCAGGAAAATCAGTCTCATCATCTCTGTGTGAAGAGAACTGATAGAGTCCTAAGTTTAAATATGAAATCCATCCACGGGTGGCAGGAGTGTTTTGCTTAACTGTGTGGAAAATAGCCGGTCCTCCTAGAGATGGGCCACTTGTCTGTTCTCATTCCTTAATTTGGAACACTTTAAGGCAGAGTCTATGTCTTTTACTTCGGTATCCTTAGTGACTGGTATAAAGATGGTGCTTAGTTTGATAAATGAATGGGTGCGAATAGATTGATGCTCCTAACTTACGAGCTTTTCCTTCTGGGTTGCAGTGATACAAGCCAAGTAATATTTCATATTATGGACTCAGGAGGGCAGAAAGGGTAGAAATGATGGTAATTTTTATAATATTCCCAAGCAGAGGTCTCATGACGCATGGTGAGGAGGTGCATGCCACCTCTGACTCCCACTCACTCTGCAATCTTAGGAAAGTTCTTCTTCCCTCTTACTTACTTTCTCCCCTTAAAAGAAAAGAGAAAGTTGGGCCAGATGATCTTTTAAGCCCTTCTGATCCCATCATTCACTGATTTGCTGCTCAAATTTTCTAACTATGAAAATATGAGTCATAGACTTCAGACTGGCTTGCCTGAGCATGTGTTCACTCTTGATTTTTACCTGAGAACCCATCAGCACTTGAGCATTTGTGTTATTCAAGAAGGGAGAGGACAGAAACCAGAGTGTTTTATTTTTAAGCTGGTGTTCCAGGAAATAAGGTAAAACCCAGCCCTACCCAAGATCAAAAGAACTCAGTGCTTAAGCTGCAGCAGGGCCAGGCCCAGAAGGAATAGGCTGTGGTGGGCATAAGAACTCAGTAAGGATGGGGCCCTTGAAAAAGAAAGCCTAGGATCACATGACTGCAAATGGCACTCAGAATCGATGGGGTTTTATGTATTATCTTGTAGCCCCAGCTGTCCTCAAACTCACTATGTAGACCAGGCTGACCTTGAACTCACAGAGATCTGCCTGCCTTTGCCTCCCAAGTGTTGGTACTACAGGCATGCGCCACCACGCCCCACTTTTATGTGTTATCTTACACAAAAGGTTTGTGTAACAGTATCCACCCATGTAACAATGCTGTCTGAAACTAACAATCATTACTCACTTTTTTACTGATAGTGCTTTGAAGGTCAGAGAGGCTAAGTGAATTGACATGCTCAACTACCTGGTTCTGCCTCAAGGTTTGCTCGTTTCCTATCCAGCATGTCCAGATAGCAGATTCTAGAGCAGAAGAGGCAGAACAGGTCTTTGGAGACACTCCGGGGAGCTTCCTGTACGAAAGAAAGCTTATAGCTTATTCCTACCCCCAGGAAGCACCCATGTACATATTTTCTCCATAGCCCCTTTGGGGTATTGGAGAGGATTACAATAAAATACATGTGTGAGTGTGTGTGTAGTACATGCAGTGTGTGCATTGAGCTTATTTCTAGCCCAGCCTATTCTAGTTAGTGTATGCAGCTTCCCAAGGCATCCCAGGGCCTGTTGAGTACCATGAGGCACACAGAGCTGCACAGCCAGCTCCACCCAGGTAAGCTGGCAATCAGCCCGACTGAATCTTTATGAGATTCATTGACAGCCTGGCTGGCTGAGATGGAGCAGTCCAACTACATGTGCAGACACACAGCAGCATAAATACAATGGGAAACAAGCTTGGACACCAGCCCAGAGCAGCAAAAGAAGGACTTTGGGGCACAGGCCTCAGACTTCTGAAATGCCTGCAACACTCACTAGGGGGAAGAAGGCTTGGATGGAAGCCAGGTTGGTCCTTGTGTGGAATTACCCAGGTCAGCCTCAGATAAATTAATTCTTCTCTCTGGCCCTAGGCTCCCTGTCTGTACATTGAAATAACTGGAAGAGACTGGTCTTGCTAGGCTTCAGTTGCTTCCTGGCATGCCCTTTTGTTCCTTGACAC